CAGAAAAGACCAGAAAAGCAGTATGTCACGATTCTATGCCCTACTAAAGAAGGTTATAAATCAGAAAGCATCAAGAAGAAAACACTTAAAACTATTGAACCATCCAAACTGCGTACTGGAGTGAAAAGAATCAAACATGTCGCCAAAGGAGGCCTCTTGATTGAAACAAACAAAGAAGCAGATTTAGAGATCCTTGAAAAAGAAATCAGCACAGTCCCAGAGCTAAAAGAGACAATTTGCAAGTTGTCCGACCATTGAAGCGTTTTCCAAAAATCATAGTTTATGATATTCCTAAAGACTTCACAAAGGATGAAATTAAAGACCCATTTCTAGCTTAAAATGAAGGAATAGATGGAAATGGATTGATAATCAAATTTCCAATCAAAGAAAAGAATGCCAATCGTTGGGTTTGTGGAACTTCTTCAGAAGTATTTGAGCAATTGTTAAAGCTCCGTAAAGTATGTGTAAACTGGAAGCGATTTGATTTAAGAGAATATATCCATCCTATGTAGTGTTTTAAATACTGCCACTACAGGCATATTTCAAAACAATGTCAAACTGAAGAGGCCTGCAGCCATTGTGGAGAGGTGGGACACTCCCACAAAATATTGTGAAAGTAATTTCCAAAAATGTATCAACTGTGCACAGCAAAATGCTAACAACGACCAGCAACTAAATAATCAGCATTCGAGCTTCTCTAAAGATTGTCCAAGCAGAATGTTAGAAATAGAAGAATTAAGGAAAAGAATAAGGTTATATAAAAGCACTGCAAATAAACTTAACGTGATTTCACGCAACTACTGCACAGTTAAAGGCTTGTATTTTTTATTATGATATTATCTTTGTACAAAAACCATATTGTATTAATGGTAAACCAGCAGGTTTTCTAACTCAGGCAAAGATAATTTACTCATCAAACCAACTTCCAAAGACAGCTACTATTGTGGTGAATCCACAAATTATGGTGTTAAATTCCACACCAAACTTAATTAGTATTACGCTGATGATTGAGCAAAGAACTCTTTCGTTATTCAACTGTTATAGCCAACCAATTATGGACTTAACAGATCTACTTAATCTTCTTGACTTAGTGGAACGAAATTTCATCGCCAAAAGTGAATTGTGGGGATCTTCCTTCGAAGACCCTAGAGGCCAAACTGTAAGAGAATTTTTAACATCTCAAAGATTTGTAATTGAAAATGATCCAGATAGTCCCCCTACTTAATTGCACAAGGGGCAAGAGTTGAATAGATATCACGGCTTCTAGATCCTCTTCTACAGAAGGCATTATCAAAAATTGGAAAGTCATGAACTGCGTCACTCTGAGTGACCATTGCTATATCAACTTTGAAATCTCGTATACTAATATGATCAAAACATCACGACATAAATATAAACTAGAAAAAATGGATTGGCTACTTCTCAAAGAAATGTTCGGCAAATATTTTGCTGGAATTAACCCACAGATTATTAAGGATACAGTTGATTTAAACGAGCTCATAGTCAAATGTACTAAACAAGCACAAGAACTTTGTGATTTGACTATTAAAGCCAAAGGAAAAACTATAAAGACTCAACATACAACATACATGGGGACTCAAGAATTCTCTATTATGAGAAGAAGAATAACAGCTGAAAGAAAATGTTACCAAAGATGTCTTCATGACGAAGAACTTGGAAATTTTTACAAAAGAACATATAAGAAAGACTTAGCAAAATATAAGAGTGAATTGCTAAAGGCCAAAAGAAATATGTATAAACTGCACTTAAAAAAAAAAAAAAAAAAAAAAAAAAATGTCCCAGTTCTCCCTTTGGCATCCACTACGATATGGCTAAGGGGAACACTCAATCAACCCTCCAATCAAAAGCTTTACTAAAACCAGATTTGACAAAGACTCAAACTATATTGAAGAAACAATCCAATTACTAATGGAGTACCATTTTCCAAAGGATTTTTGTCAGGATGATCTAGAGATACATACTCAAATTAGAAATAACTTACGAAAAAGTTATGGAGAACAGGAAGATATTCCTTTTACCCAACAAGTAGCTGAATTTACTATTAGATCTCTAAATCCTGGAAAGGCACCAGGGTTGGACCTCTGGCCAAGATAAATTATTAAATTATATTATGCAAATCCTCCTCTTCAAACAGCCTTATTCAACAAACTCTTCAGAAGAGGTACTTTTCCTGAATATAAAAAAATCACAAAATTAGTTCTCTTCGCAAAAGAAGGGGAAAATGGTGAACTACCAGAAGCCTACAGGCACATTTGTTTATTAAACTCTTGTAGCAAAGTTTATGACAAGTTGCTTACTAACAGATTAACCTTATTTTCTACAGTCCGATGAAAAACTAAGTTCAAAACAATATGGGTTCAAGAATAGACTCTGTTCTTCTGATGCAATTAAAGACATCATCTCAACAATTGAAGAAAATAGAAGATATAATATTTACACAAATGTTATCTCACTTGACATAAAAAGTGCGTTCAATAACATCTGGTGGCCATTCTTGTTACATGAATTACGTAATCTTAGCTGCCCTATTAATATACACAAAGCTATCGAAAGTCTACTGGAAAATCGACATATAATTTACGAGATTAATAACGTACAATATTCTCAAGTTGAGGAAAAAGGTTGTGTTCAAGGCTCAAATTTGGGGCCATTATTTTGGAACATTGTAATGAACACAGGTCTTCAAATTGATTATGAAGAAGGAATTTAAGTTCAAGCTTATGCTGATGACGTTCTCCTATTAATAACTGGCTCAACTCATGTGCAAATACAATCGAGAGCAAAAATAGCATTACAGATATTTTCTGATTGAGCTAAACAGTGCAAACTGAAATTCTCTCCCGAAAAATCTAGTTCTATGTTTGTTTCAATAAAGAAGCGTGGAGCAGCTTATTCTGCCCCCACAATAAAAAAGGAAAATAAAACGATTAAAAGGCAAAAACATATAAAATATTTGGAGGTCATTATTGATGAATGTCTTACTTGGCTACCTCACTTGGATTATACCAAGTCTAAGGTCCGTAAAATGGTTAATAATCTTCTACAAATGCCTGGTCTTCCCAAACCAGTCCCGAAAGAGCAACCAAAAGAGCAGCAGTATATGCTTGCCCCGCTTGGTGGCACTCTCCAGAAATCAAAATGCAAAGCAAAGCAAGCTCTATTCAAAGAATAGCTCTCTTGGCCATGACTAAAAGTTACAAAACAACCCCAACCTCCTCCCTCCAAGTTATTGCGGGTTTACTACGTCTAGACATAAAACTCGACCTAGAACGTGCCATCCAGGGCACTAAAAGAGGTTGGACTGCATATTTGACGACATAAATATTTCAAGGAATAAAACTGAGTTTCAAGTTCATACATGGCATTCTCATTCGGCACACATACGAATATTTAATTGAGACAATAAACTACCAACAAATAATGGACTGGAAGTTTATACACATGGCTCTAAGAATAATGATGGTACAGGTGCCGATTTCTGTCCCTTTTGGAACAGAAAATTTCAAGAACAATTCATGTTTCAACTTTACGAAAATTGCTCAGTTTATCAAGCAGAATCACAAGCTACGAAATCAGCGTTGATGTGGCTCAAGGTGCATAAGCAATCACCTCATATTTTTTCGAACAGTCCAGCTATTCTCAAATCAGTTGAAAAATTTGACATTTATAATAAATGCATTATCGAAATTAAAAAACTATTATCAATTACCAAAGCCAAACTCCACTGGAAAATTCACATACACATTAAAATCTGTTGTAACCCAGCAACCCAGCAGTATTAATATAATGTCATTTTTGAAGGGCTAAATTAAAATCCCAAATTTTGGCCAATGGTATAAAGTATGTAATAGGCTAACTGAAGACTTTCTGCCACCCAATGTTAAAATCTTTTTTCAACAATAATTATCCAGAATAATTGATTTATTTTTATGCATTGATCACACAACAACTTAAAAAACTTTAAAAAAAGATAAATAATTTGTATTGAAAGACAGAGTATTTACTTTGACTTAAATTGGCTGTAAAAATGTTAAGACTATTATTTCATTGCTGTTGATACAAATTGTGCCCAGTGATCATGCTCATACATGAAGAATCGATTGATGAAGATTCTTCTGGTTTTAACACACATATGCAATATCTTAGATTTAGTTACACGTTCAGAGAAGATTAATGTTAATGAAAAAATGTACATGCTTAGATGAATGTAGACAATTCTCTTCCTGTTACACACTCTCAAGATAACAAAAAATAATCACAAGTTCTGGGAAAATGATGACATGTTGAGTAAGACAGTATTGTAGAAGAAGGCTGACATAAGGTTACAGACTTCCATAAGCTTCGTCAAGCAATGTTAATCTTTATCAGTATATGTTGTTATGAAACTTCACCACATGTTCAGCTAATGTTAAAATTCTCGTGATTATCTTATAAGATATTCAATATCACACTAAGAAATTCATAACTTTTACATAATAATATATGTGGTAATTTAAAACCGTTGTTTGATTTTTTTTTAAATATAAAACTATGAGTATGTGTTTAAAATGACCTGTATGATATTCGGTACTATTTCATTAATGACCAATGGATCAAAAATGCAATAATTGGAATCTGCATGCTGCGATTTCTACTGAAGGCGTAGACATGAGAAATACATACTCAATTATCAGGAAAAATCTCTTAGCTGAAACTGCTGCCGGTTAAGAGAGATTCTACTGCACCTAATCAATAAGTTAAGCAATGAAAGTCAAGCAAAGGGTTACAGGCTTCACATGACTGCAGTATATTACTCAGACTAAAAGATACCAAATAAATTGTACCGCCACTCCTTTTTCACATAAGTTTTCATGCAATTTATGTGGTTATGCTCTACAATATTATACCGTGTAACTTAATATGCTATATTATTACTCAATTTCAAATTTATTGCATGAAAAATCAGTCAAGGAAATGTATTCATTGCATAATGGACTTACCTGTTTAAGGGTTAGATTGCAGTTATATCTTATGTTACTCCCATCTCTTTCAAAGATACTGTGCACCTTATCTTTCACAATAAATACAATGTCTGAAGGAATGGCATCCGGATTTTCATCACCTTCTTCTTTAAAGGTTATCTTTGTGCCAGCCTTCCAGCCAGGCTTAACATTAATAGTTAAGACCTTAGTTTCCCTGTGATGTGTTTTTCTATCTGGGTTCAAGACATTTCGTTCAATTTTCATTTTCTTTGTACAACCAATAAGAACATCTTCTAATGATACATACAGATCATGTGTAATGGGTGGATCTTTTTTTAAAGGTTGCTGGGGTTGTTGTGGTTTCTTTGTCCTGTTACGAGTTGACTGACTTCGACAAAAAAAGGGATTACTAACAAAGCCAGGAAAATCAGGTCCATAAAATGTGTCAAAATTGTTTGAGTTATTAAACACATTATAGAAACCTGTAAAGAAAGAAAAAAGATATTGAAATTCAAACAGATTATATAATTTATTTTATAGTCAAAAATGGAATGCTAGTTCTGAAAATTCTTTTGACAGTTATGTATTATAGATAAATATGTATATTAATAGCATTTAAAAATAAAATCAACTTCATATACCAAAAGACAGAAAAACTGCATTTTAAATAAATGTTGTTTTTTGCAAAATGTCTCTCATATGGCAAGAGATAGTTAATTCTGCCAAAAACTTTTCTACACAATAATCTCACTAAACACTGCTTTCTTCCCTTTTAAAATACATTATAAATAATAAAATCATTTAAAATACATAATAATTTTCTAAAAACACTGTAATAAAATTTTATTTAATTTTACATACTATATATAAAAATTTACAGTAACTGTTCTCAATTAAGAAGAATATATTGAAAAATGAAACTTTTTATCACTCTTCTGGTAAAATAAAAATTATATCAAGTAATGCGTCTTCCACAAAATAATACATGCTATTAATTAGAATACTCCATGAAAAAATAAGTTACATAATGAAAGTTTCATTTCTAGAAATGCCCTCATTCCACTCAAATTTAAAGATATTGCTAGATTACCTAGTATTCCTTCATGAATTTCTTCTTATCTAATCTATTTCGGCGCCCTCTTCCAATACTTTTGGAAGATTATATTTCTAGAATTATACAAAAATTATGAAGTATTTCCCTACTCTGTTAGCCAAAGTGCAAATCTAATGTCTGCTAAATTGTTTAACATTTTCTTTCAAGTAAATGAAATAAAATAGCACATGAAAATTGGCAAAGGAATCTAAAGCAGACCTTGCAAATCACAAAATATTGTAATATCTTGCTTTTAATAAATTTATTTATTATTTAATTAATTTATTGTTGAAGTGGCAACGCCATATTTGTATTATGTAACCATTGCTCAGCAATGTGGGAAATTGTTTTAAAAATGAGATTCTGAAGTTTTCACCAGCTAGTAGTAGTATGAAAGTTTTGCCACTAAAGAACTTCTTCAAATTATCTATCTTCGTGAACTGGAAATAAAATTTATGTTCTAATATGAAGATTGCCTGTTTTGTCAATTCCTGCAAAATACATTACAATATACACATATATTTTCATTTGAAAATTTTCAATTTAATAAGAAAAATGTAACTTCTTTCTAGTATTTTGTGGCTCCAATACTATGGTTGATTACCATAGTGGATTAGTAGAGTGGTCTCAATTTCAAACTGCAAGTACGCCAAATGCACAATCTAAAAATAGCCGACTGGGCAGAATTCTTTCTTTTTTGAACACACTGAAAATTTTTATTAATATAATAGAAGATATTTTAAATTTTGCTTACATAATATTTATCAAAGCATAAACAAACAGGGGGGAAGAACATTTTTCTATCCGAAAAGAATTTTTTTTCCCTTTCTCTTTTTTCAAGCTATCATGATCATATAAGTTAAATATAAGCTAAAGTAGCATTCAAAACCAGACCATACTTCAGAACATAAAGAAATATTTTTTTTGTTGCTCTTGCAATTTGATAGGAATCAATGGGAAACAAAAGCACACTTCAAGAACAGAAAAGAACCACACTAAAATAAAAAAATAAAAATTAGCAAAGTAAAAACCTTATGTTTGGCATAGATAGTCAAGACTCAAAAGTCGGATCTATGCCAAACATAAGGTTGTTGCTCTGTGAATTTTATGATAAGTATACTTATTTGAAAGATTTAGCAATTTATTTTTAATGGATAATTTAACAATTTTCATGTATTCTACAATATGCACTATTAAATAGCATACTGTAGTGGATAAAAATAATTCCTAAATATTGTGATGTCCAACTCTTTATCAATACATTTTCTTCTCCTCTTGGTATGTCCCATGGAAATTTTGCTTCAATCTGATGGTTTGTGATACAGTAAAAGTCCAGAAATCAGCAAAGCTTGGGACCAGATTTTAGGATTTTGCGGATTTCAGGTCAGAAAAGATAAAGCATAATATTTGGACTAAAAGTGCAATATAAATAAGGCGTATTAGATACATTTAATTTAATTATTATATACATTATTGCAATAATTTAATATATGCATTAAATTATTATTACATACATAAATTGATTATATTATTCACTATATTATTCACAGCATCGATGTTCGCCGACTTCGCCTCATGCAAAGATTTCCGGTTTCAGATCTGGTGTTAGAATCACTGTTACTGTAAAATTTCAACAGCTTCTCTTTTTTTTTTTCTGTATATCATACACAATCGTGTCGCAATTCCATACGATTCTGCTATAAATCAAGGAGTAGCACCTGCCTCCACCTTTTGCAGAATTTGCACTTTTTGCATTACCATCAATGCAACCTGTTTATGTTTTTCAATGTTGCAAGCAGTAAAATCATGAGCAAGTTTCTTATCTGTCATTGTATTAAAATGTGCTGAAATTTAAAATATTCTTAATTTATCCACAAAATATCTGAATAACAAAACAATATCACTAAACAATCTCGTGAAATAACAAAGCTCATAAAGTACAACAATGTGAAGCATGAACTTGAAAGAAAAGTTAATCCTCTGTTTTTTTACCTCAATGCAGATTGGAGGGGAAAAAACTTTTATCATGATATCAAGAATTTGGTATTTTCGTTATGACTCATTATTATTCGGTAATTATGACGTCATTATTCGGTAAGTATTTTTTCTTCGATATTTCGTACTCAATGTTACGGTTTCCGGAACCTATAAACTAAATGTTTATATTTTGAGAGGCAACGCGGATTTTCGGTATTTGACTGTAGTGGTTTTCCCACTGCTTTTTAATAAGCAAACTTAATTTTTTTTTAGGTTTGGTACCTAGAAGCCATTTTTGTTGGTTACACTTTCTTATCCAAATATACTTAACAGCTAAACATTTAAGTTTTTAAATAACACTTATTTAAAATATTTCTAACATGTTTAATTAATCATTAAACAACTTATTCAAATTTAAACTAAAAATTAACAATTATGAAAACTTTATAATATTTCAGAGAAAATTTTCTAAATGTGGCAAAACTTCAGAATGCATAATGACAGCCTTGTCTCTTATTAAATTTTTCTTTGATGCATTAATAAAAATACAGTACAAAGTCTGCAATCAGGACTCGTTGGGACTTCGGCGATTCGGGATTAGGATTTTTTCCGGATTATAGGTCATCAATTTAAATCTGGTAAAATGGCATGCAGAAATTATACAATTAAAAATATGAAACATAATTTATGAAATAAAAAGCAATTATGATCTAAAGGGTATCAAAATTTACAAAAAAAAAAAAAAAAAAAAAAAAAAAAAAAAAGCTTAATATTTATTTGTATACTTTAGTAAACATTTCTTTCAATGTAAGTTGCTTCGTTTTTTGTGCTAATACTTTCTCTTTAATTCATTCTATAAACAGACATAATTTCTTGTTCAGTTAAGAAGTTCAACTGTTCAACTCCTGTAATTGCTGTGTCGAGAATATCGACTAACTTGTTAAACGAAATTTTTTCGTTTTCAATAACGTTCTCTGTTACTTTCTTCACTATTGGAAATTCGCATAGATAAATGTTTTACTGGCTTTACGCGCATGCATAGCGGACACGCAATGTAAGCTTGTGGCCATGAGGTCCGGATTACGGACTTTGTACTGTATACATGTTTGTATGTAATTAATTATGAAATTCTCTATTTCTCGACAGTTGATGGCACTTCAATTCTAATAAAATTTGCTGTTTTGGAGAGAAATGCGAGACTTTGTATCGGAAATTCTAAAGATATGCTCTTTTTAAACATTTTTTTATGTTGCTGTTAAATTGAATTTTGTGGTTGAAGCGCTAAGAGCATATTTGATTAATAAAGGTTATTAAACGTTAAAAAAAAAAGCCCGTTTTGGGCATAATATAAAATCTGAATGTTTTTAGATTTTTACTCCCCCCCCCTCAAAAAACATTGCAACATTAAAGAAATTGCCTGAGAACTCTATGGTGAAAGAATCATTAACTGCATTTAAAATTTCCATGAATGGACCTGAACCATTATATTTAACTTTGCACTGAAGTAGGTATTCGAGTAAATGGTCACCTAGACTTTTCTTGTAAAGACCACATCTTTGTAATTTTACTTACTGTAAAAATAACAATAAATAAATAAATGAACACTAAATTACACATGTGAAGATAAACCATGCGTGTCATGCTTCAATGTGCAAAATGGAAATTTTGCTTCAATCTGATGATTTGTCATAGTAATTTTTCCACTGTTTTTCAATAAGCAAAGTTAACGTTTTTGGTACAAGGCCAAATTAACTGGAAGTCCATTATATATGTAACAGAAATTCAGACAATGTAATGAAAATACTAGTTCTCCGTAGATTTCTTATGATGAAGATGGAAACATGATTCACTGTAAGAAATTGTATCTTCTGATCATTCACATCTTCACTGAAAAGTTGCCAAAAATTATGCATGATGCAAAGCAGTATGTTGCCAAAATAATTGTGTCACAGCCAATAACATCGCCAAAAAGTATTTATGTGCCATAACCAGGTATGCGCTTAGCACATGTATGTTTCGGCCATGGTGTAATGTCAATATCGTATAGATGCTGAGTTTATGCAATTCTCTGATTAAATGAAGTGATCCCTATACACACGGAAAACATAACAGTGGAGGGGTGAGGATTTCATTAAAAAAAGGGTCAGTGTTTTATTACCAATGTTTCTTGCTTTTTTAATTTTATTGATTCGTGACTCTTTTACAAAATTCTTAGTTCATCACCATTTTGTAAAGTAGTGATTGATTTCAGTAAAAAATTAGTTGCCACTGAATTCCTGAATGCTCTCCAAAGTAACCAATGAATTCATGACTGTTTGGTGGACGTGTGGATAATCAGAATGCAATTAAGGAACCGTTGGACTGGCTTTATTATAACATCTTAAATTGCATTAGATGAACGCAGAAGTTCATGTCT